CCTGATGCCCGTGGCACGCCAGCAGCACTGCACGCAGGTGCGCGGCGACTCATGAAGGAGCTGCAGGACATCGCGCGCCTCAGCGACCGCTTCATCTCCGTGGAGCTGGTGGACGAGAGCCTGTTCGACTGGAACGTGAAGCTGCACCAGGTGGACAAGGACTCGGTGCTGTGGCAGGACATGAAGGAGACCAACACCGAGTTCATCCTGCTCAACCTCACCTTCCCTGACAACTTCCCCTTCTCGCCGCCGTTCATGCGGGTGCTCAGCCCGCGCCTGGAGAACGGCTACGTGCTGGACGGCGGCGCCATCTGCATGGAGCTGCTCACGCCGCGCGGCTGGTCCAGCGCTTACACGGTGGAGGCCGTCATGCGCCAGTTTGCTGCCAGCCTGGTCAAGGGCCAGGTAAGCGGGGAAGGGCTGGGGCGCGCGGCCCGTGATCCTACCCAGGGAGCTGGCCCCTTCTGCCATCTCGCTGCGGGACCGGACTGCTATTGCGAGCGGGCCTCCAACCCGGAGACTCCGGGGACTTCCTGGAGCCTCCACTTCTTTCCCCAAAGCGTTATTATCCTTCCCTACTTTTCCACCCGGTCGCTCCTGATCCCCCACCCTGTCTCCACCGCCGCTCTCCTCACTTCTTGTCTCTCCAGAATGCACTCTCCTGCTTTCTCGCTTCTTGCCTTCTCCTTTTACTCCTTTCCCTCTTACTCCCTCCCCTGTTGTCCCTCAGGTCTACCCTCTCTTCTCTGGCCTTTATCCTCTTCCCCACTCCTCCATCTATTCCTCTCTTTCCAGCCCTCCATCCCCTCCCCCATCACCGCCTCCCTCTCTGCCTTTCCTCCTCGCCAGCCAGTCTCCCCCACTCTCCTCTCTCCTCCCTCTCGCTTCACCACCTCTCCCTCCCCATAATGTCCTTAAAGGTGGAACTTTATGTGTAACGCAGGATCCAGATGTCCAACCTAGTTTACCACCCCACCACACACACACACACACACACACACACACACACACACACACACACGGTATCCCCACCTTCTCAGGTGGGTGCCCTGCAGGTGGGCGCTCTGCCCAGACACCCTCTGCTGAATCTGCCCCCTGGCTCTGCTTGCTTTTCCTGAGCGGCAGCTAGTGTAAAGGTGAACATTTTGCTCTTGAGAAATTTCACGGGAGAGGCAGAGGTGTGGTGTGAGTGTCTCCATAAGTAACAAGGCCAGACTTTGTCAAGGAAATGCCTGGTACCTGTCCCTTCCAGGACCTTCACCTCTGAGGTAGAGGTTCAAGGTCTTGGTTTCTCAGACCTGTTTCTTCCTTTGGTTTCCTCAGTCGTTAAATCTTGCATCGGGGCTAAAGATTTTTCATTAAATATTGAAATAAGGGACAAGTTTGATGCCTCAGTCTTCTCACCTATTGCACCAGATGGCAGCTTTACCGAAAAGAAACCCCAGAGGACTTGAGAGCGGAGAATGAATGACTCTCCAGAAGTATGTTCCCACCTGGCTGCAGACAGGTGCACGAGGGCTTTACCTTCCCACATTAGGTGCTCTTCATCATATTCAAGTTGGTTGATGTTTTCCGGAATCAATATTAAACGTTACTTAATAAAATCATATTTTTATATGGGCTTCTTCTAGATTTATGAAGAATAACTGTTGTGTTTAGAAGACTTGAATGACCTCTATTTGGTCTTTTTACAGCCAGCGTATCAGAAGCGATCAGTCCCTTGTCACCTGCCTCTGTCTCTTTCACTGCAGGATCTTTCACACTAATCAAATAATGCTTGTTCTGCCAATTTCACTAGAGCCAGAGCCCCTGGGATACCAAGCAAATAGCATCCTAATTCCAGCGGAGAAGGGCACTTAATTCTTGACTGAGGTCTGTTGTTACCAAGTAACTATTCTGCTAGTGCATCTTTTCTGGGGCTTAGGTTCCACTTAATTCTTGAGTTAGGAATAGGATGGATGTGGCAGGTCTGGAAAGACATCTCGAAGTGAGCGGGGGTTTAACTCTTTAACGTCAGAGGTTCATTCTGAATCAGTGCTGGCTCTGATGTAAGGTGCCTATGAATTGAGACAAGCCCCAGGGGTGGCTCAGGGGTCTCAGTTTATTTTTCAAATAGAATTTATACAAATTATGTGGGAGAAGATTTCGTAGAAATGCCTTTGTTATTTATTGGTAATCAGAACTCTCTGGAGCAGTCTCTTACCTTTTTTTCATTCTTCACCATGAAGATGACTTTGGGGGTCAGGGGAAAAGGAAAATCATTTTGTTTTATAGAATCACAGAATCACATGTTAGATTTGGAAGAGATCGTAGAGGTCACCTGGACTACAGCCTGCATTTTAAAAGATGCAGGAAGGTAAAGATCTCAAATGAAAACTAAGGAAGTCTTTTTAAAAAGAACCGCTTCTTAGTTAAGTGCTTTTCATGTTTACGTTAATGGTATGAATAATAGTTCTGTTGGTGCCCATGTACTTCTTTTAAAATAGGCACACCCTTTTTGTTGTAATCAAAATTGAAAGTCTTGCATACAGCTTGCAAGTCAGAGACTTCAGTGTAGTTATCAATAATATTTTATGTATTGATTTCAAAAATCTTACCTAATTTAAGTCAGGGTCCTTCACCTAGCATATTGTGTTATATTACCTATTCTACTGCATTCAATATCTGAAATGAAGGTGAGAACTCAGCCAAGTTATTAAAATCCCAATCAGTTTCTTTGCTTTTTCCATGCTGATTTCAATATCCAAAAGGGAGGAATGTGGAATATACATAAACTATTCGAAATGCAATGTAAGAATGGGAGAAATGAAGTCATTAATGTTTCAGGGTTCTGTGCGCAAAAGTGTTTCAGGAACCTGAGCATTACTGTGCCTTGCCTACCTTTATGAATTCCCTGCCTACAGGTTGCTCATTGCAGCACCGTAGCTACCAAATTATTTCCATAGTAAAAGGTAATAGGCTTTGGGGAAAATGCCTGATTAGGCATTCCAAGAGAACCAGCACTGCTACCAAACCAGTAATTACTTTAAAAGAACGAATCATTCATTCTAGTACATTCCTCCATCTGTTGGCATTTCTTTTCGGGGTTCGGTTTCTTCTTAAGTGACAAAGTCAGAAAAGGCACCTTTTTCTCTTTCACAATTGCTCACCTTACCTTTCTGAATGGAGGATACACCAAGTTGATTTTGTATCATACCTTTAGAGAAATCGTAAAATAATATTAAGGGTTTCATTGGTAATATGAAAAGATCAGCTTAACCTTTTTGTGGACAAAATAAAAGTTGGGGTTTATCACACGATCTGATCAATTCAGTCATTTCACAAAGCCTTTACCTGACTCTTTGGCTCATGTTATCAAAATCTCTGGTGTGCTGCTGTATGGGTTGCGGCTGCTTTCAATGAAATCAGCATGAATTTCTTGTGTGCTGTATTCTGTGTGGAGAAAGCGACATACTTGCAGGCGTATTTGTCTGCTGTCCAGCATGAAGCCTCTTTTGACTAATAGAGACATTTTAGGTAACTCTTGCTTTTCTATAATTGGATGAAAAACCCTGTACTTTTAAAATGAACTGCTGACAGTGTTCAAACTTTAGACCATTATTTATACCCTTTATCATTTATTGAACCCAAAGGAGACAGTCCACAGCTCCTATAGATGATTTTTAACTTTCAAAGCTGTAAGAAGTTGGTCTTGAAACTAAAGTCAGATACAACCAAAGGTAGAAACAACAGTGGACAGACTCTGGGAACCTGACGTTGAAGGGCCCTGCCCGGAAGTGCCCTGGAGCTCACCGGCTTGTCCTCCAGGTGTGAAGTCTGGGATAATTGGAGGACTGGACAGAGACCCTCTTCTTGCAGTTGTGTGAGCATAAGGTTTCACAAAAGCCACTTGAGGGAGCACTAACTTCGGATTCTTTTTCACATCTGCTCACATCCTGAGTGGCCCCTTTTTAATTAGCTAGATGTGGCCAGGGACAGGGAACCAGATGGCACTTGAAAGACGGTTCCTCAGTCCTCCTCTATCCCCTCAGAGCCAACCACAGGACTGGACTTGCCATGAAGATGATATTGATCAGAATAATAGCGGCAGCCACTAACATCTGCTGCATGCTCTTGGCCTGGTTCTGGACCAGCTAAGTAAGCAATTAGGCTGTTTCACCTCACTTGGTTCTACTGTTTCGATAGTCAGTGTGCAGGTGAGGAAACTGCTGCTCCACGCAGTCAGGTAACATTAATACAACTTCATGTTCTAATACCAACCATGAGTGGCAAGGCCGTGAAAATCAACCCACACCAGCAAAAGCTTCAGGAATGACAGAGTCAAGCCCACCCACCTAAGCACTGGCACTCTCCAGGTAGCCTCTGAATTGTGACCTGCATGATGAGCCTTTTTGTCCGCAGAAGACAGATGTGCAGCCAGCTGTCAGCAGAAGACTGGGAACAACAAGACTGAAGCATCCTCAGATCTCAGTGTTTGAATTAAAAATTGGTAAGTGGTGCCAGGACAGTTATGTTTGCCTGACACCACCAGTTTCTGAGGCTTTTGAGTAAAGTAAACTGGCAGATGTGGCCACTTGTCAGAATGTGATGAGGAGGTAAAGGGCTCTGCAGATCACCTTGGTCATAACATGTGTCACTGATGTAGGCCTTAAAGGGATCTGTACCATGGGTGTCACTGGGAATCATGTGTGTACGCGCGCACACACACACACAGCCATCTTCAAGACTTCTTCCAAAATACAAGGCCTAGAAACAGCATTTTACTTGTGACTGCAACATCTCCAGGTCTTATCAGAAAATATGATGAAGATGAACAGCGCTTTGGGTTCTTAAAATGTATGAGCTTCTAAACTGTTATAATTGACGTATGTGTAAAAACCCTGTATTAGTTTCCTAGGGCTGCTAGAACAAAATTCCACAGACTGGGGGCCTTCACCAACAGAAACTTACTGTATCACATTTCTGGAGGGGAGGGCAAAAGTCTGAGCTCAAGGTGCCGGCAGGGCTGGTTCCTTCCCAGGGTGAGAGAGAGTCTCCAGGCCTCTCCTTAGCATGTAGACCAGGGGTGGGCAAACTTTTTGACTCGAGGGCCACAATGGGTTCTTAAACTGGACCGGAGGGCCGGAACAAAAGCATGGATGGAGTGTTTGTGTGAACTAATATAAATTCAAAGTATACATCATTACATAAAAGGGTACAGTCTTTTTTTTTTTTAGTTTTATTCATTTCAAACGGGCCGGATCCGGCCCGCAGGCCGTAGTTTGCTCACGCTGATGTAGACCGTCTTCTCCTTGTATCACTTCACATCTTCTTCCTTCTATTCCAGTGGTTCTCAACCTTCCTAATGCCGCGACCCTTTAATACAGTTCCTCATGTTGTGGTGACCCCCAATCATAAAATTATTT